AAGCTGTGTTGCAGCGGTCTAACAATATCCATTAACCCATATCATATACAGTGGGTGTCGTAAAAAGCGACAGAGCAAAACAAATCTGAAAATGGGCAGAAGCATCTTTCTAATGACAAATAGTAAATGTGACAACTATGATAAATTCTTCTCTATGAGGCAATCTATAGAGCAGGCCTATGTTCATGTTCAGCAATGGACTTAATTAGGCTGTAATGGTTTTTTTTATAGGAGGGGGCAAACAAGCATATCGATCTCCTAATGGTAAGTGATATTAGCCCATGAACAACTACAACACCAGGGCAATTGCAGATGCGTTGCCGGCATTTAAAAAAGGAGTAGGTTCTTTTCTTGATGGTCCCTAAGTCGTATCGGTCCGGAAAAATCTGCGGTGGTATTTGATTCCACAAGAAAGTTGTGCGAGGAAGACAACTTCTTTTAAATCGCAGTGGTGGACCGCTAGTCAACGAGATGGTATGGATGGTATTGTGAGTTTTGTTGTGTCCCAGGAGTGGGACGTATATAGGCTGTAACTTTAACTTTTTTAAACACAGCAATGTAACAACCCACCTAGAGGCCTGGCTTTGGATAAGTGGCTCCTAGAATTTAGGGACCTCTAACCCTAACAATAAAAAAGAAAGCCACCAATGCATCGCGTCACAGGGTGGTTAAGTGGAATATGAGTATTTTATAGATACAGCCTACTAAAGTGATCCTGAAAGTGAATTAAACAAATAGTGCTGATAATTTTTTCACAATTTCCTAACAAGAGGAAAGCTTTACTATAATCATAACAAATTGGAAATGGATTGACAGTCACAATCTAACTTATGTTGTTGTTTTAACAGATGTTTAAGGTTTTTAAGGTTTAAATTTAATTTAGATTTCGTAACACTAAGCATTTAGAGATGATGTAAAAATATCTACTTTTTCATAACACCCCTTGGGTGACGTAAGGGGCTACATCAGGACAGCAGGAGCATCTTCCTCATAATAAGTTTTAAAAAAACCACTGTTGCTAACCTGCCCGCCAAGCGTAAAAACTATGGCAAATATCTCCCTGTGATGTAATCTTTGGGGGAGGTCTATGTTCAATAGTGGACTCTTGATGGACTGTAACATTAACAGTAACGGTAGTGACACTATGAGCCATAGTAAATCAGGGAGTTAGCGTTCACTGTAAATTTCATAGTACACAAGCAACTCTGGTATTTACTATGTCCTCGGGATTGAAGAAAAACATTGTATGGAAACCTGCATTTCTGAGAATTTAAAAAAAATAAATATTCAAATTCTGCCAGACAATGTGCACTGGGGCAACACAATGGTCATGTCCGTGCCCTAGAGCCCGTATGACATATATAAGAGGTAACTTTACTTTTGTATAAATACAGAGTTTTAGTGAATGTTTTTTTTGGATCAGGTACTTTAGGTTTTAAAAATTTGTGTAAACATATAATTACTATTTTTGGGAACTATAAACATTTTTAGTAACTGCTTTAACATACTGTGATTAACATAATTTATTTGATTAAATTAAGCCTAAATAGATAATGACTAAATGAGGGAAACATGTTAATGACAAATCATAGTGTAAACAAAGAATGATGAGTTTGGTCTTTAGTCAAATTGATGGTAGTTAACACAGTTTACAGCTTTCTGTTATGCAAACAAATACATTTTACTGTAGATTTTTAACCATCTTTTATTTATTATAATAATAAAAGATTGTTAAAATAATATTAAATCAATTAATATAAAATAATAGTACCCGGATGACCGAGCATTGCTCGTTTTTTTTAAATTACATTTATAAATTACATACTGATGAAACATAAATAACATTTTGTGATCGTATTGACAGAATAGAAAAAACTGTACTGGTTATTTGAATAAAAAATCATGAGTGCAATTAGTTTTATTAAAATTTTCGTATTTTTAAAAAATACTAAAAAAAAAGGGCTTGAAATAAAAGATTTTCTCACAAAAGAAGAGAACTTGAAAAAAAAAACCGGCCAAGAGCGTGTCAGGCCACGCTCAGTGTAGGGTTCCGTAGTTTCCCGTCCGTCACAATAAGTGTTCCCACTTATGAGTTTAAAGGTGGGTATCCATTATGTTCGCGCTCCAGAAGTGCTCCGCACTCCTGCAACTGCTCCCGGTAGTGGGTACTGTTGTTTCCATCCAAGTTCAAAATAATTTTCCTAGAAAGTCCTTATAAAGTTCTACTTTTCAGATTTTTTTTCATATTTTCTAAACTTATGGTTCAAAAGTTAGAGGGAGGGACACATTGTTTTTTACTTTTGCAGCGATTATTTCCGAAATTATTGACATAATCAAAAAATGATTTTGGTAAACCCCTACTTATTTTTAAATACCTTTCCAACAATATATCACACGTTAGGGTTGAAATTAAAAAAAAAATCACTTCCCACTTTACATGTAGGGGGGGCTACCATAATAAAACATTTTTTTCCAATTTTTATTTTACCACTTTGTTGGCGTGATTGATACACATATTGGTACCAAATTTCAGCTTTCTAGTGCTAACGGTCACAGAGATTAAGCGAGGACGGACAGACGGACAGACAGACATGGTGAAACTATAAGGGTTCCTAGTTGACTACGGAACCCTAAAAAAGGAAAAAAGCCAAACCAGACACAGGACGCGAACCACGGAACTCCGATATCACGCCCGACCGACATCCCACATGAGCTTTACGACCGTTAGTGATGTATCAAAATTTACCTTCTTATATTGTAGCAGTTTTTTTATTGCTTGAAAATACGGACAAAAGGACATTTTCTAAAAATAAATCCTAGCTAGATCGATTTATTGCCCCCGAAACTACCTGGACACTAAATTTTATGAAAATCGTTGGAGCCGTTTCCGAGATTCCGTTTATATATATACAAGAATTGCTCGTTTAAAGGTATAGGATTAAGTTAATATAAAAAAAAAATAATAATATAATATTTAAATAAAGTGTTAAACACTTTTAATACAATCTTTTTTTAGGTTTTGAACTTTTTTTTTATAATTAATGCCAAATAAATCTAACAACAAAAAAGGCATCTATGCGGAGCTGCAGAAATAACATCCCACATTTTTCTTCACTATCTAGCAGATGCCAGCTAAGAACTGCATAACTTGGATTACCGAGGTTGCTCTCTAAGGTCAATAGTAATATTAGATTTACTAATATTCCTTGAGGAGAGCAGTGGCTTGAATAGTTTAAAATTCCTATACATGCAAAATATACGCTTAGATGTGAAATTGTTGATACCAGCTCAGCTCAATCAATGAATCAATTGATAAACTGTGAAATGGATATTAATACAGATAGTGTTATAGATTCACAAATAATAATTAATGTGAGAGATGAATTAAGTAATTCATCAGACTTATCATGTATAAAAGGTATAAAAGATGGATAAATAATAAAATTCTATTAATTTTATTTCAGTTAGATCCTAAATTAATGTCATTAAAATCAATTTTTTCTTCATTATAAATTATCTCAATAAGATATCCAACCAATTGTATCCTCACACATCCCATCATATCCCTAGGAAATTCACTATATCCATGCCATAAAAGGATTTACAATGCATGTTGCATTGCTGTACCCTGGTCTGATGAGTAGAGATCCATTATACAGGCTGCAAGGCACTCCATCTTAGTTCTAAGAAATGACAACTCATCTGCAGCTTTCTTTGTTTGGCTACATGTGTCCATCGTCTGCAGTAGCCACTTACCACCGGATGGACTGGAAGTTCAATTGTCACATGGGTTTTATCTAATAAACTGCACATCTTAAGAAGAAAAAAATGAATATATAACGCAAATCAAAATCATGATATCTATATATTAATATATAAAGAAAAAGCTTTTTATTCCTATTTAAGTAAAATAAATAAAATAAAAAAAAGTACATTACACACACAGAGAAATGTGGGATGGCTTATTTTAAGTTTATATGAAGAAAGAGTGCAGCATTAAATAGAATGAAACATTTATTGTTTATTTTCATAATGCCAAGAATGAGATGTGTCTTGAGTGATATCAAATATTCCTTTTTTAAGTCTGTGGAGTGTATATCAACACAAAAAAGCATACATTTTATAATGTGAAAATTAGATATCCATTTAACATATTAGTATTGACAGCATATATTAAACATTAGAAATACTAAAAGTTGCAAATAAAATTTGGGTTTCTTACTATACCAACTTAATAATTTTATAAATTACTGTACAAGTTAACACCCTTCAGAGATCACTAGTATACATAATATCTTCAATTACTAAATAATCAATGTTTAGACAAGCACCTCTAATATAAACAAACAGCTTTTACAAGTTGGCATATCAATCTTAGCAACTCAAATTTTAAGGCTGTTTGTTTCTCTATCTTTTTGGAAATTATTTTTACCTAGACTAAGAATTTTTTATAAAATATTGACAAGCACACTGACAAGTATTTATATAGCTAACAAGTAATTGTTCTGGGTTGGATCTGTGTATGCATAGACTTCCTGCATGTCTGACATGCAGGATGTTGATGGATGCATGTCTCAGACATACAGGAAATCGATGGACATGGGTGGCTTAGTATCACATTTTGTGGTATTACTTGGAGAAAGTCTGTACTTAGCAGTCAATTTGCTGTAAATGAAAATGATGATATTGTTACTGATCGCAATGAATCCTAAGAATATCCTTAACTAACAGGTATGTACAAGAAGGCAAGAGAGATAAGTCATTATCATGCCAAATCGAAGTATTTACCTAGTCTCTACCTACCTCTCAGGGCGACGGGCACTCATTTGTATGCACTATGATTCCTGAATACTTTTATGTATAATTTAGGTAATATTTACTATAAAAATATTTGGGCTAGAGTTGGTTAGTATGAAGGTCAACACAATACAATAATATAACCTAAAAATTATACGCTTGGCTATAAATTGGATTAAAAACTTAGAAATTTACATACTTACTCTTGAAAATGTTCTCAGACGATTTATTCGAGGATTTGAGGGCACATTACTGAGGGATAACTTAGACATCTTTGATTCGTCTTGATCTAGGACTGTTACAAAAATATAACACTGATGTTGCCACTAAAATGTACTTAAAACAATGTTCAAACAAACACTACGTAATGTTCGGACATTTCTAAATCCTTTGATTATTTTTTTAATATTCAATAAATTAAAAAAAAACCAAAACTAATTACACAATCGTATTAAATAATACAATATAAAAACAATAACAAAAACTTATAACTGTCAAGAACAGTATCTTTCGTTTTTAAAACTTAAAAGTGAAGGCAATAATATCTAGTTGTGTTTGGGTTTAACAAAGCATATATGCCTACGACGCGACGACTGGTTTAAACGTTTTGTTAAATAATTTTATCCCCAATTTTTATACACAAAAATTAAGGAACCGTCACACTATGTATACCTCACACGCTACCAGACCGACAACTGTTAAAAAAATTAAATGTCAAACTATCAGCGTTGCCAACACCAATTTGTCAAATTCCCCAATATGGGGGACAAACAATCAACTACAAATTCCCCACTAATTCTCTTGAATTTAATTTCAAGAAATGAAACAATTTCAACTCACTTTATACGATTTATTTTTTAATTTATATTTTTTCTTTTTTACCGGAAAATTTTTAGTGGAGAATGAGATTGGAGTGTTTTTAATTTCATCCCTTTTTGCCATTAAAAAAGTACCATTTAATCTGTATTAATATGAATGCAGTTCTCTGCTTTGAAATTAAAAAATAAAGAAAGAAATAAAAAAACATTTAGTGATACACTAAAGTTGTCAAAATAAATCCGAAAGTTAAATGTGGTGCAATGAAGATTGAAAAAAAAGGGAGTCATTCGATATCCGTAAGTAATCTAACCAAAATATTAACATAAATATTTAGATTTCTTAATAAAGGGTTGTAACTTGGTCCGGGCTATCAATTTTCAAAATTCCCGCATTTTCCCCGCATAATACCAATTCCCAAAACATGTCTAATCAACTTGAGATTCCCCGCAGTTCAGGGAATTCTCTATATGTTGACAATGCTGCATACTATACGCCAATTGCACATAGACAACGGGTATGTTCCGAAATACAACGCAGTGTACTGTCCAATGCAAATGACGTCATGAATCGACGCTGTACTGGTGATTCGTTCCAAAACATTGGACAATATATGACGTCATACTTTTGCGCCATTTAGAAAAGTGTTGGCGATTATTTTGTCATTTTGTGATCCAAAAATCGTTATATCCTCCTAATGGATATACCAGCAATTATTCTATAATTTTTTGTATTTGGATAAATAGAAACAAATTCTGGCATGCTTCATTCAGCGCACACACAATTAAAAATTGTTTTATTGTGGCCGGATATCCGACGCAATATGGCGGCGGCACGCCACTACAATGTCAATTGATGACGTCATTAGCATTTAACAGTGTACTGGGTTGTATTTCGGAACATACCCAACTAATAATAGGAACATGGAGGTTAGAGAGAAGAAGAACGATCGCTACGTGCTAAAGCATAGCCCGCCTGTCCCTGAACTGCCATCGGTAAATAGTATCTGCGAAATTAGCTGTTTATGAGTACAAGTAAATGAAGTTAGTTGAATAGTACAAATTACTTTTAAAGTATTAGAGGTAAGGAGTACAGACTGTGTATTAAAAAGTGCCTGTAGATAACCGTTAAATAAGGGTGGCACCACTATAGCAACGGGGTAAATTTTAAAGAGTGTGCCAAAAATATTAGTGGGATAGACGACTTTTTCGAAGTTATATTTACTAAATAAAATAATTTTAGATTTTTGAGCTACTGAGCAGTTTAGCAGCACACTTCACACCGTGGAAAACTGCAAAGTTCATTTTATGTAGCTGTTTCCTGTAGCTACTCCAGTGCTGTTGTGGAGAGTTTCTGAACTGTTATTTATTGCTTACAGATTAACACTTTTTCAACTTTTCTCTTGTGAGAGATTGTTCTCCTTACCTTTACACTCCATAGTGCAAGTGGTTTAGCATCTGATCAGAAAAATAGACTGAAAATGACTTTTATTGAGACAACTTAGCGATCGCAGCGCCTTACTTATTTTATCCATATTTCTGGGACACTGTTTTCTACTGCGATCGTTCTCCTTCTCTCTAACCTCCATGTCTGGGAACATGGAGGTTAGAGAGTGGGAACATGCGTGGGAACAAGCATCAGTCTGTGCTGGGAATTATTGTTTTCGCATTCGAAATTCGTAATTAGGGATTCCGTAAATACATCACAGATATATGTTCATTTCTCTTCGGAATAACAAGGCTCAGTTGAGAGATGCTAGCGATTTTCCGATCGCGATTCCATTGTTGCTGTAGCATTGTTACTGGATGTATCCCCTTAACACGCTAAGATTGCAATTTGGTCAATATTCAGTAAAAAGATCTATCTATACAGATTTAAAAAAAATGGATGTCTATAAACTCTTTTGACGAATTATTAAACTTCCTTGCCCTAAAACCCTCTCAGAAATGAGGGGAGGCCTGTGCCCAGCAGTGGGACGTATATAGGCTGTAACATTAAACAAAATAAGATGAAAGATTACGAAAAGAGATACACATATTATAAGATTACATATAAAACAGCGCGTTCCATACAGAATTCATTAATGTGTGTAGGCGACTCATATAAAATCTATGGAAAGAATCCCGCACGGCAAAAAGCCTTCCGAACGCAAGTCTTTTTACGCCATAGATTTTGTATGAGTCGCACATATATTATTTCCGTACGGAAAGTACCGAGAAGGAGAAGAAGAAGCGAGTAGGTTTGTTTATGTTTGTTTGTATATATCATCTTGTGTTTGTATCTTTTGTAACCTTTCCTCATATTTTGCTTAATAATTCGTCAAAGAGTTTATAGACATCCGATAGTATTTAAAAAATTCTCTCTCTCTCTGCTGCAAGTTAAGTTTACGTTTATGAAGTAGGCTGCAAAACTACAAAGACATAAAGCTTGTGATAAGTAATTTAGTCACTCAACAGGTTCATTTTGTAAGAAAATTAAACAATTTGGTACTACTTCGCTAGAATCACATTGGCTGGAAACTCGCTGTATTAGAAAAAGCTAATTACTGAAAACATTAGTTATCATAACCAGTGACTTCTTCTTCATCACTAGTATCACGTTACGTTTAAAACGGCCGCCCCATGGCAGCCCCTCCTTTGGAGAGATAACTCCTCTCCCCTTCCCTTCTTAGTTAAGGCGCACTAAAACACTAAGCGTGCATTCCTCAGCGCGTCCCCCTGAACAAGACCGTACCGAACGCGAGTCTTGCATAGATTTTGTTTTGTCGGCTCATTAATAAGGAATTCCGTTTCGAAAAACTGTTTCTAAAAATACGCAGGCTGCAGTACGCCTTGGCCGGCTCGACAGGAAAAAACCAAGTTAACAAAGAATAACAGCGTGAAATATCAGTTTAATGCAGCAGTTTGAAGAGACGGATTAAATGTCGACAGCGTCCTAGCCTTGCTGCACATCATCGGCGCCCCTCTAGCCGCCAACGTTATTTATAATATATACATTATAACTACTTATTTTGCTATTAAACTATACTTATTATAATTTATTATAATTTTGACCTTGAAGGGAAAAAGGAAGATCTCTCGCTGGTAAGGTCACATGTCAAAACATACATAAACACATCTACTCCCTTCGGTCGTGCGAGACACATTGAATGCGTTCCGTACGGAATTTATGATTATGTGATGCGACTCATAATAGAATAGACCGGCCACATAAATACGGAATTTCGTTTCGAAAAACCGTTTCGGAATACCGACTCATTCCGAACGCAGCAACTCCGTATTAAAATCAAGGATCCGTCACATAATCAGGCTCGCCACATACATTTGGGATTCCGTTTCGGGATTTAATTTCGAAATTCAGATTCGGGATTTTGTAAATACATCACACAGGTATGTTTATTTCCTTTCGGAATTAGGCCGGCGGTTAGTAAAAGTAGTTTATGTCTATAAACTCTTTTTACGAACTATTAAACAAAATAAGATGAAAGATTAAGAAAAGGGATACACATATAAGTAAAATAACATATAAAAATAGAAATAAACACACCTACTCGCTTAGCACCGGATGCACACTGAGCGCTTTCCGTACGGAATTCATTAATGTGTGTAGGCGACTCATAAAAAATCTATGGAAGTTTTGTGTTCGGAACGGCTTTTTCCATGCGGAATTCCGGACGCACAGGCAGTCATGCGGAATTTCGAATCGGAGAAAATAAATAATCTAAGCTCGGAGAGTGGTCAACGCTCCGTGTAGTATTTATGTGTATTCTGTGATGTTGATTGATGTGCTGTTAGTCTTTTTGGCTTTTACACCTTCATTTGTTGCTGATTCTGGGCTCGCGGTCAATAAGGCCACGAACTACACAAAAAGGAAAGGCGATGATAATGACAATGATAATGATGATGGCTTATGATTTGGTTTATTACCAATCGTCAGTAACCCATTTTTGAGCTATTAAACCGCTGTCTGAGTGGGGGAGTGTGGACACCCGTCCCCGACTATTTACTCGTGTCGATCGATGTTCTGTGCGGTGGAAAAGCCCAGGTACGTAGGTAACTCAATAAGTTTTGAGATGCTCGAAATTTAAAAATAGAACGCACCCGTATTATATGTTTCTAAAAAGAAAATTTATTTAAAAATAGAACTCGATCAGCCAATCGCACAATATTAAAAAAAAAACAAAGTTCTATTAATTTTCCTGCAACGCTTCCCACGCTTTTCATTTAAAACGATGGATCTTAACCGAGAATATCTGCGCGCTATGATCTATTATGATTTTAAATTTGGTTTAACTGAACAATTAAGTTTAAAACGGTTACAATCAGCATTAGGGGAGTCAACTCCATTACGCGCAACAATTTTTAGGTGGTTTTTCTGAATTCAAAAGGGGTAAAATTAACCTTAAAGAAGACCAAAGAACCGGGGCACTTTTTTGCACTGCAAACAGCAGTAACGGCAGAAAATGCATGGAACACTGAA